CATGGTTCAATGATTTTTGGCAGAGTAATGCCCCTTTCACTTTGAAAATAATATGAAATTTACTGTTTCTGTTCATTATCTACCCAACAGTGTTACATATTCAACTTAAATTTGACATATGGATATGTCAAAGGAATGGGCAGGTCATGTTGGAATTTGGTCATGGTTTGCTGATTTTTTGGCAGAGTTATGTCCCTTTCACTTTGAAAATAATATAGATACATCTTAGGAATAAGCAGTTTAAGTTTGAATTTGGTTGTGGTTCAATGATTTTAGACAAACTTATCTTTCCTGAATGTTGGAAAAATTTTGAACTTTCAGTTTCAGCACTCATATTTGTAGCCATTATTTTGGCTACAAATATGCAATATGCTATTTTTAAAAGGTTAAGACTGAATAATATCAGTGCATTGAACATTGTATGAAAATGGTTTGTGTTAACATTGAAAAGTTTTAAGGGCTTTGAACTTAAAATGAAAAAAATAATTAATGCACCATCTAAAATTTTGGCTGCATGCGGGGGCATCCGTGGCATGATGACACATTTCTAGTTTTATTTAGGGATTAATGCACCTATCAATATTTTGCCCGCCCAGGGGGGTGGCGGGCTGACCCAGGGGAATTTGACATCTTAAAATGTTTGAAGTCTAAATCCCCACCCTAGAGACAACCAATTTTGTCTAAATCCCCACCCTTGAGCCTGCTTGGTGCATCAAATGCCCCTGGGGGTAGGGGACAGGGTAAATGTCTAAAATATCAATCAATAAGTACACTGTTATCAGAAAAACAATGAAAAATATAAGTACAAAGGCTTATCATTAGGAAAATAATGAATCCAGATTAATGGGCCTCAGAAGTAAGGTAGGTATAGTCACTCCCAATGAGTTTATATGTATCAATTGTAGTTTGATAACTTTGATAGTATTCAAATAATTAGACTTTGAATATACTTATAAAATGGTTATTTTTAAGTAATAAAGGGACATAATTCTGAAAATAATGCATCAAGGTTATAGATCTTCTTAGTATGGTAGTGGTTGTCCCGCTAAATACTGTACCTAGTTTCAATTGAATATCTTTCATAGAATAGAATGTATGACATAAAAACTTAAACCAATGCGGACACGGACACACAATCGATCGTATAAGCTCTTTAATATTTAACATTTATAGTTTAGGTACAAAATTAACCTACTGACGCTAGTTTCTGACTCCACATGGACCAGTTTCTGTTAGGGATGGTAAGCATTCTGACCAAGCTAATTATAATTGAACCATATCTGTGGCCTCTTAGAGTGTTAAAACACTAAAAGTTGAGGACACCAGATTTGCGAAGACAGACATTCACCGGTCATGATCACAATAGCTTCGTGCTCACAGCTCAGATGAGCTAAAAACTTACAACACTTTAACTTCTTATTTTATTTTAAAATTTTAACACAAAAAGTCATTAAAAAAGACATTCTTCCTCCTCCTGCGGCCAAACCTGGACAATTCCACAATGTTTTTCTGAAAAAGAGGGCATTTTTATAATCTTTAAGGTTTCAAATTTATTAAGTTTCATTTAAATTAGACCAAAAATGTTCTAAGATTTGACCTAGTGACTTAATTTTTGACCCCTCGTGACCTAATTTTGAACATGTTCTAGATTTCATAGAGTTGAACATTTACACTAACTTTAATGCAAAATGGGCCAAAAATGTGGCCTCTAAAGTGTTTGCATTCTTTTTCTAAGATTTGACCTAGTGACATAGTCTTTGACCCCACATGACCCAACCTTGAACTTTGCCGAGATTTAAGCAAAACAGTTTGACCAAGTTTCATGGAGAAACAATAATTATAGTTCAACACAAAGCTACAATAAGAACTGACATAATTTTCTGAAGCTAAGTTGCATGGTGTACTCACAATCTGGTGCACTTTCATCAAGAGCCTGGATAGGAGCAGGAGCCTTGATGGGAGCTTGAGTCGAGATATATAGGAGCTTGAACCTTGATAGGAGCTTGGGCCTGGATAGAAGCTTGAACCTGGATTGTTTAAAAATGAATAATTTAGTAGCACAACTTAACAAAGATTTCCAACATATATTTTTGATAGATAAAACACTAGGTTTTTTTTTAATTCTATTAGAACAAAAATGGTACTGAATTTTTTTTTTTTTTTTTTTTTTTTTTTTTTTTGAAAACACATTATTTTCTAACAATTCTGCTGTACTAAGTCTATCAAAACTAATCTTGCAGTTATGGTGGGGAATCACGTGATATGGAGACCACATGACATGGTATTGCAGCAATTGATAATCTTTCAGATTCTGGTGTCATGTGAGAATTTTTGTCAATATCTTTGTTTTAACAGAAAATATTTGGAGTATGCGTAACTGACAGGGACTTGCAGTTAGCCCCCCAGTGACATTATAAACAATATTGTGCTTTTTTCAGGAGAAATCCACCAATTTTAAGTTTAAAGGAACATTATGCTTTTGTGAGTAAAATTTCAATTACTGAATAAACATATCATACTCATCCTCTTAATTGAAGAAATTGGCTCATTTCCGCATTACTATTCTTCAGAAATTATTTTTTCATCCATCCAAACATACCTCCAATTATTACATTTTGCGCTACATGAGCGCAATATATTTATAGCGTATTTTTTGAATATTTTCTTTCATGTCTTAAGAAATCAAATGCAAATTTTTACATCAGAATTCTACTTGATGTCATTGGTGTGAAACTGAATACTCTTTCATTTCAAATAAAGTTTACAAATGCATAATTGGACTTTAAGATACCATGTTTACGTCACAGGTCACCATATCAATGATTCCCCACCATGTCAATGATAAAATACACATACTAGTATTTAGACCACAAGAAATGCAATACCCCTTATGTTTTGTATGGCTTTCAGAAAAAAAGAGTTTTTTTGGCCTCAGACTCATTTAATGTTGAGGCAATCATTTATGAAAAATTCAACTCATAATGTCATTTGTGCCTGAATCACCTTTTTCTAAGACTGCGTCTCGGATGCCTTTGCCTTGCCCCTTTTTCTGTTGGCAAAAACACTCGTCAAATGGTCCAACCAAATGTTCACCTGTTTAAATATAAATCAACATTTTAATACATTCACATTTATCAGATAAGAACAAAACCTAAACATAGTTTCTGCAGATTCAATTTACTTTTTATTAGAGAAAGTCACGACTGTAAAGCAATACAAGACCAATGAAGATGAACCCGATAGCCAAGATTCAAAGCCACGTTATGACAAGCAGTTGAAACAGTAAATGATAAAAAACAATGATGGTAATACATCTGAAAAAAAAAAGATATTATTTTATCTGGATCTGTTTTGACATACTTTGTATTAAAATGCATTTTCTTACTTTATTAAAAATCATATTCCAACAGAGACATAGATAACAGAGATAGGATTCTTCCTAGCCAGTTAAAATATCATGCGTGCCTGCTAAACTTAAAACTTGTAGCAAGTAAAACTTATTAACCAGACATCAAAATCAGTAAAATAACACATTTTCTGAAAACATGAATTTGTCTATTGCTGCAGCCTGCAGGTAAAAATATTTAAAGTTCCCATTAAAATAAATGTTACATCATTTTTTAAAGAGAACTTCTTGATATTTTTTGTTACAAAACTATTCATATGACAAAAAAATGGCTCAGTGGGTATGTTCTGTCATGTTTTTCTAAGGGAAAGGCATGGAAAGTTACCAATATTTTAACATGCAGTCATAGATGAAAGATTAACCTTTCAAAGAAAGGGTATATACTATATAATATTTAAGGATCAAATGTACATCCATTAAGTTTTATTTGCTACAAAATGCTTATTTTTTCACTTTTTGATAGGCATGAGTGATATTTCAATGGAGTATATAAGAGCTGCTTATCTCTATGTCTCTGATTCTAACAAGGTTCACGGGAACTACTGACTTGGAGTCCCGTGACTTCAGCTTTTGGATTTTGAATCCCTTGCACAGATGTGCAGGCTGATCTGGATCTACACTGGTCGCATAGGTGTTAAAATAATTATAAAATGAATAATTAATAACATAGTTCTGTGTGTATGTATTCACATCCGTTTTGTGTTCACTTGATCAGTTCATTCATACTGCAGTTAAAGGGATTATCTCAATGATACGACTTTTCTGCTGTAATCGTTTATATTCTACAGGCAAAGTGAACGTTCTTTTTGTGGATTTAGTATTATTAATACTATGTATCAGTATGTGTCAGTTTCATGTGATTTCCAACGCCTTTCAGACTCGCAAAAATAAATGCGGTCTATTCGCGAAAACAGATGACAAACATGAATACCGCTAGGATCCACATAGTGTCTGGGTATTGGTGAAAACAAATGAAGAATACAATCCCTGTATACCTTTGCAAATAAATCCCAATTCTGGGACAACCTTCTCGCCTTATCCCAAAATTTTCTCAACCGTAGAAAAATTCGAAAAGTTTCATGTCTGCAATTTCAAAAACGCAAATAAAAATATCGCCGTCGTCTTTTACCTTTCGCAGTTACTCCCCTTTTTTATTTTGTGGCGTCGAAGTTCCCGAGTCCCGGGATTTAAAAACCGGCCAAAGTCTATTACCCGGGACCCGGATTCCATAAGTTTGTCAAATTCCAGCCTGTCAGGAATGGTCTTCTGTCTAAAGCCCCGTGTATGCCCGCCCCCCCCCCCCCGGTAGGGCAAAATATTGACAGGTGCATAAATCACTGTTTGTGATATATTGTTTCTGTTACAACATACACGTACAAAAAGGAAAAATCCCTTGAAAATATCAAGAGATAAGTTTATATCTATTAAAAGTTTGAGTATTGTGTCAAAACAGCTTACTTTTATCTTCTTCAAATTCTGTTTTAACAAGTTCGCATTTGACCAATTATTAAAACAAAGTGTAAACTTGTAAACGATATGTGTACTAAATTTCGAATGACCTTCTGATTTACGCAGTTATATCAAGGTGCTCACTCAAAACAATTCACATAGCAAACAAGGATGTTAATGTAATAGTTGCGATAGTAATCTTCTACAAACGGAAAGTCACGTTTCGAGCCATCCTGACACCGTTGTGGAAAGTATTTAAGTCTGCTTTGAATATTGAAATTCATTAGAAAACATAAACACTGACAGTGTAACGTGAAAAGAAAATGAAAATATATTAAGTAAGCGCACTTTTGGTCTGCGGATATATGGCATTTGCAAAAGCAAACGAGGTGTGCCTCAACGAGACGGAATATGATTTTTACATGATGGAGAATCTTGTGACGGACGTTAAAAAAAAGACTCGAGTCTTTGAAAGAAAATTTCAAAGGTTTGATTTCTCATTGATATGAAATACGGTTTATATTTAAAACTTTATAACTGCCTGCCATATTTTTATGCTTATTAATTCACCCGTTTTACATTCATGTTTACATACAAATTCAAATTGAATTAACCTTGATTTGCGACTTATAACCTTTTAAACATTCGATTGTGTTATTTATAGACATGGTACATGCAAAATGTCAAAAAACGAAATGTCCTCAAAGCTCTTGCGCTGATGATTGGGTTTCTTACAACGGATCTTGTTACCGCTTTGAAACTTTTCCTGCTCGTAATTTTGAAGAAGCAAGGGTGCGTAAGAACTTATAACTATACTGATCATTAGATTTGGATGTAACTTATTTTTTTCAAAAATCTATTTTAGTTTATACACGATACAAGTATAGAATAAAATACATAAGTAATTCTTTTTCATGTTTATTTGTATGATTTAAGCATTTGACGAGATTATTTACTTATTTTATTTCATTTACTACATATTTTTTATGTGCTGTTGAAATTTTCCGATCCTAATTCATTCTTTAAACTTATACAATAATATTTTAAAAGTATCAAAGTAATAAAATTAAAATAAAATAAGGAATAAAATAAAACTAGCAGCTATAACGTTGTACAGCAAGATTTGTTGAAGACGTTATTTTTGATCACTTTCACAGGGGATCAAATAAATATTGTTCACCGAAATATGCATTGGTCAGAAAAATATGTTCGTTTTCTGTAAAATATATAAAAAATAAAAAGCTATAAAGCTGGAAATCTTTACTTCGCTAAATACAAAATGCATTGGTAGTTTACAAGCGTCATAAGAGAGAACAAATATTGAAAGTTTTACTTTTTCAAAAGTTGATTTCTGTGTAACTTAATTGACTTAAGTTCTTACGATTTTGAAAAGATGATTTTGTATAGGCAATCGATGTTGATACTCCGTTTAATTATGACTGTCATTGAATAATAATTTATATGCATAAAATGCACAAACTTATTTGGAATGGCTACAGAGAGACGCATTGTATTTATTTGGTACATAATTTAAAAGCTTGCAGAAATTAATTTATGTTTTTTATTGAACATATATGTCCATTTTATTTTTTTACAATAATTACATAATTTTATATTAGTAATTAAATCTTATTGTGTACTTTAAAGGAAAAATGGGCCGGTTCCTAAAGGAATAGTTAGCATGTGTGAAATTCTACCCTTATTGTTAAAAAAAGAATCTATCAAATATCCTTTTCCTTCATTTTTACAATCATTTTAGTCATTCATGTAAAACATTTTAAGTTATCAGCCTAGGCAAAATCTAAGCACAGTATCCGTTTTATGTAAACACTTGGTTATGCAGAAATATTCAATAAAAGTTTGATTAAAATGTAACGATTTGTCATAACAAATTAATTAAAATTTTATACGTGTAAACCTTTCTTTTCTTCTCAATTCGCTGACAAAAATAAGTGAACTTATCACCTTATTAGCTGTAAATCATTTCATACTGATAAAATTTGAACAATTTGAGGGGTGGATAATGGGCAACAGTGACTCTGAATATGATTTTCATATTGATGGCAGCTGTTTTTATTGATCTTCATATGAGAGTTATTCGAACATATGTCTTTACCGGAAATTAACTTTTCTTTTTTACCGATGCAAATTTCCATGAATCATACGAAGTTGGTACCCCGTGATTTTCTAAGTAAAGCTCTTATATACAGATATGGAATTTGATATATGCCAAATCTTTTTGTTAGGCTTTCTGCAAACAAAGAGAGTCTGTATTGTTGTATGTACAAAAGATGCGGCGGTTAAAATGCGTTTATAGTCAGAATGCTAGGGCCGCTTGAAATTGTAAGTTTATCTTCTAATTGGCATCGTGAAGAAATAAAAATATGTAAAATTAATTTTTTGCCATCACCGTATTTATGATGCCGTATTATAACTATTCTGTTAGCCAGATGGTTCTATTTTAAACAAGCCCCATTTCACCCTCTGTTCATAATTACTTAGATCATATTCTGATAAAGTTTTTAGACCTCGTATAATCTGCTTAAATAAAAGTGAACTGTTCATATTTGTTAACGATAAAAACACTATTTGGACACCTTCTTCATTTCAAAGCTAGTAATAATGGTGAAGAAAGAATTAATATTGATTTATGAATAATGATAATGAACCGAGTGTGCCAATTAATTATGATTTTCTAATTTAACTTGACTTTTTAATAACAATTTATGATGATATCAATGAAAAACGGCATTTCTTACTGTCGAAGTAGTTAATATGCATGCTACGTTCTAACAAATTGAAATAGTATAATTAAATATTACTCATGCTGTAGCAAGTCCTCATTAGCTATTTGGGTTTGACTGACCAAGGGTCTGAAGGAAAGTGGAAATGGATCGACACAAGTGCTCCAGCGACATTTATCAAATGGGCTCGCGGTATGTGTAAAAATACAAAACTAGTTTTTGGAATGATAAAATGTTATATTTCAGACAATAGTTTTTTGTTTTCTTTTTTAACACAAACAAATAATAAATAATATTCAAACTGTTGAATTTGAAATTGAATGGCATAACAACTATCCGGGTATCCAAAAGTTTTATTTTGGTATGTATATGATTCATAGGTTCAAGGATAACAGTAAAAATAATTTGCCTTTGATATAATTATAATTTGTAAGTAAACATGAATAGGTTTCGTATCATTATAAAATGAATGTTTTAGGTCAACCGGAAGGTCGCACAAGACAGAACTGCGTGGTGTACAGCAGTTCTGCCTCATATCATTGGCATGACACAGAATGTACTAAGCGATATCCATTTATTTGCAAAACAGGTATTCTGTCATATTTAAGATTATCATCATACAGACCTTAACAAATTTATTTTCTTTCATAACTGATGTGTGTACAGTACTTGTAATACATTTATTTTAGTATTTAATCAATAACTCTAACAGAAGGAAAAACTCATTGTTTTCATACTTACAGTCTTATAATACTTTATAAATAGTTACTGTGATTTACTTGATTTTATTGTCGATTTAAGCACAAACAAACAAATACATATGCATAGGGTGTTTGTTATAATTTGATCATATATTTTGAGATACGTACATGTGCTCATATATTTAATATTTTTATAAATGTTTCATTTTATTTTATTGCAGTAAAATAGACAACCGGAAGATAACAACATATATGTGTTCATTGAAGTATCTATCGTTAACTCTGTAATGTTACTAAAAACACTTTCAAACAATATTTGTTGCACATATTTTGATGTAATGAATGGCGACCAGCAAAGAATTTGCCAGATCTTATACTTCTTTATCATTATTATAGATATGGATTAATTTCTCTGTCACATTCTTTTTTTATTTTGTTGCGAATTCCAAAACGATGCTCAAGGACAATATATAGTAGAACATTTGTTGTTTGGTTTTACGATAGTAAAGTTAAAGCTATGACGTATGTTGTTGTTTTTTATGACTATATTACACATATTTTCCATAGATATCATGTATATATCATGTATATATACATGTGTTATTTCCCGAATCGTCTTGCACTATTCACAATGATTTATTTCTGTTATATATGTACAATGATGTTCTCTCGTATCATTATGACCACAACATTATGAAATTTATAACTATGGTTTTAAATTTATAATGATGATTTTATCGTCTTGTTATGCGGATAACATTTTATTCTAAATGAATAATAAGTAAATTGTGTAATTTGTAAAGTGTTTCGTATATGCTTTTATTTGATAAAACACACACAAAAACTGTACGTTATTTTAAATTATAAATAAGATTAATCTAAATCTTAATAACTTTTCTAATAGAAATTTTAAAACATTCTTTAGAAAATTAAAAAAAAAGATAGCCTAAGCGTTCTTTATTTGAGATAAAGTTGTTTAGTGCTAGTTTCTTGATTAACTGAGAGCTGTCAAGAACTAATCTTAATCACAAATCTAGATCTAAACGTCCCAGATCGTGTGCCTGTCTTGTTGGTGGTTCTAGTTCTTCCTTTGTTGCTAATTGTCTAATACAAACAGTTTCTTAAGATCTATCTGGTAATGTTTTTTTTTGTTTTTAAAATTACTGTTGTCTTTATGCAGACCTACACAGTATATCTACCGTCAATCCAAAGTCATTTTAGGAATTTCTGAGGGTTACCTCGTGGCTTAGGCACAGTTACTGGATATTTTTTTTAGTTTATTGATCCTCAATGTTAATCATGGTTGACTTCAGTTAATTCAACAAAGCGGTCATCTTGAAAGACACTCTTAGTTGATTACGTGATTTTGCAGTGCACTCATTCACTTGCCCCAATCGGAACATCCTCGACTATTATACATAATGACCTCGGACACAATACGGATTGAAAGTAGTTTTATCACGTGATTATAGATGTAAATAAAAACAGAGCGTGTAATCTTTAATAATGTACAACGAATGTATACATAGAAAGATTATGATTGAAAATGATAACCAATCTAAAAATGCCCATTGATGTAGAATTTTAAACAAATACGAATTATGCCAACCGGAAGACATTTTGTAATTTCGATTTCTACAACCATTATAATAAGTATATAAATTGCGTGAATTTATTTTCATAGTTTTTAATCTACTTAATTTAGATGGACTTTTACTACATATATTGGAATAAACATAGTCAACAACTTAAAGCATTAACTCACTTTTTTATTTACATTTCTAGTTTCTTAGCGTAGGTTAGACCGAAATACCAAATCTGTTCTGTGTAGTCATACTATTGTGATCGAGGTCCTTATCCGAAGACTGACGGAAATGGCCGAAAAGTTGCGACTGTCACTCGCCCTTTATAGAAAAAATGCCGGCGAAAATTAAATTGCACAATGACATAGATCATTCAACCATAGCATAACATGTTAAGATTAGGCTTAGAAATAAACAAAAGGTCTTACAAAAAAATCCGTTTTAAGTAACTTAAAGACACTTTGTGATTTAATGATACTTGATGAGACTTATTTATATATACTTTTTCAAGAAAATTGTTCCGAGTTATTCTGAACAAATGCGATTTCAAAATAACCCTCCTGGTGTTATTGGCGATTAAATTTTTATTCCCCGCCGAATGGCGGCGGGGGATATAGAAATAGTCTCTGTCCGTCTGTCTTTCCGTCCTTCCGTCCGTCCGTCCATCCGTCCGTCTGTCCGACATTTTTGTCCGGAGCATATCTCAAAAAGTATGCGAGGTATCAACTTGAAACTTCATGGGTGGATAGATCTCATTGAGGAGGAGTGCAGTGCACAAGAATGATAAATCTACCCTGCATAATTTTTGAGTTATTACCCTTTGTTATTTTTCAAAATTAATTTTTGTCCAGAGCATAACTCAAAAAGCCTTTGAGATATCAACATGAAACTTCATAGGTGCATAGATCTCACTCAGGAGGTGGGCAGTGCACAAGAATGATAACTCTACCATTCATAATTTTTGAGTTATTGCCCTTTGTTATTTTTCATACTTAATTTTTCACCTAAGTGGAACATAACTCAAAAGTGTTTGAGATGTCAACATGAAATGTCATAGGTGGAAAGATCTTATTGAAGAGGAATGCTGTGCACAAGAATGGTAACTCTTCGCTATATAATTTTTGAGTTATTGCCCTTTATTCTTTTTCATACTGTTTTGTCCGGAGCTTATCTCAAAAAGTATTTGAGGTATCAACTTGAAACTTCATGGGTGGATGGATCTCATTGAGGAGAAGTGCAGTGCACAAGAATAATAACTCTACCCTGCATAATTTTTGAGTTATTGCCTTTTGTTATTTTTCAAAATTAATTTTTGTCCAGAGCATAACTCAAAAAGCCTTTGAGATATCAACATGAAACTTCATAGGTGCATAGATCTCACTCAGGAGGTGTGCAGTGCACAAGAATGATAACTCTACCTTTCATAATTTTTGAGTTATTGCCCTTTGTTCTTTTTCATACTATTTTGTCCGGAGCTTATCTCAAAAAGTATTTGAGGTATCAACTTGAAACTTCATAGGTGGATGGATCTCATTGAGGAGGAGTGCAGTGCACAAGAATGATAACTCTACCCTGCATAATTTTTGAGTTATTGCCCTTTGTTATTTTTCAAAATTAATTTTTGTCCAGAGCATAACTCAAAAAGCCTTTGAGATATCAACATGAAACTTCATAGGTGCATAGATCTCACTCAGGAGGTGTGCAGTGCACAAGAATGATAACTCTACCTTTCATAATTTTTGAGTTATTGCCCTTTGTTATTTTTCATACTTAATTTTTCACCTAAGTGGAGCATAACTCAAAAGTGTTTGAGATGTCAACATGAAATGTCATAGGTGGAAATATCTTATTGAAGAGGAATGCTTTGGGCAAGAATGGTAACTCTTCGCTATATAATTTTTGAGTTATTGCCCTTTGTTCTTTTTCATAAAGTATGCGAGGTATCAACTTGAAACTTCATGGGTGGGTGGATCTCATTCAGGAGGAGTGCAGTGCACAAGAATAATAACTATACCCTGCATAAATTTTTAGTTATTGCCCTTTGTTATTTTTCAAAATTAATTTTTGTCCAGAGCATAATATTTGAGTTATTGCCCTTTTTTCTTTTTCAAACTATTTTGTCCGGAGCTTATCTCAAAAAGTATTTGAGGTATCAACTTGAAACTTCATAGGTTGATAGATTTTACTGAGTAGGGGTGCAGCACACAAGAATGATAACCTACCCTGCATTATTTTTATCAGTTATTGCCCTTTGTTATTAACAGCCATCAGTGTCATATAGGTTTCAAATCTGTAATCACTTCAGCCATCAGTTTTCATTACCAAAAGGCCTCTTAAAATTGATTTATCTGCTCTACTACATATACATTCTTCCAATGAGCAAACCCATTCGGCGGGGGACGGCTATGTTGACATGGCTCTTGTTTTACTTTAAATTGATAAACGTACAGTATATAGATTTTACTTTATTTACTGTATGTATGAATATTACCAATTAAAACAATATGGTTTCTTATCTCTACCCTCATTTTGTCCCACTTTATTATTCTAAAAACAATAACAAAATATAATGGCTTTTTGCAAGCTTATTCAATCATATGGAATACACGGAAAAAATCTTATACTCAATTTCCATAAATAGTTCTCATAGAAAGTAACCGTGTGTTAATGATTTGGGGGTAACAATTCAAATATGTTTTATCAAATGAATAGTTTTCTTTGATTTATTTCAATCTATTATACTCGGAAAAAGATTCGAAAACATTTATCATATACAGATAAATTTATCCAACAATAATCTGTTGCTGATTATGGGTCCTTCCTGTACAGTTTGTATTGCAATAATCCTCCAGACAGCATTCTGTGCAGACTGGAACTGACCTCTGGTTGAAAGGGTTCAAACTTCTGTGTTCTATAGCACAATCCTGAAATAACATATAATGTATTATAAAATAGAACCAGTTTTATAGATAAAATATCAGAACGATTGAAAGATCTTTATTATACGCTGATATATACTATTTCCATGTGACAAAAGGATAGGATGAATGCGCTACTAATCTTTCTACATGAAGTTGTTTGTAATACTAACGGAGAGAGACGGACTGTACTGTATAATTATTGTTTTTAACATGTTTCTAATTTTTTGTTCAAAGGATTGATTCATATTGGTGAGAATAATAAAATATGATTCTATTTGTTATTTAATGTAAGAAGTGGCCACTGCCTAAACGCAATGTTTATATCGGCTGTAATAATGTACATATACTCTCCGTCTCATAAATTCAAAATGTCTCGACATACATTGACTGATGCGCATCCAAGGTTAAATATTGAATTCTCTCCCACTGGAAACTCTTCGATGCGGCATACCTAAGAACAGAAAAATGAGGAAATTTAATTATCTTACCATATCATATGGAACAAGAAATGTCGAACGACACATATGCCCAACTTTTTAGCCCTTATCGCATGGTTTGGAACTTTTTCTTTGTTCTTACTAACCCATTTTACTCAGTACACTTTCAATGAGCATTTGAAAACTGTATTGATATGTAGTAGTACAGTTTTTTCAGTAATTCATATAGGAAAAAACTCAAATACTATATAGCAGTTAAGTTCTTTTTTCGCACCTTGTATATATCAGTATAGTTTTTTCACTGAGGCTCCAATGGGGCAGCGGTCACGAACATTCCAAAGTTTCAAAATAAAATCTCTATCATTGGACGTTGTTTTAAGTTTTCAATATTATGTAAGGTAGCTTTAAACATAATTAGCTGGTATAGGTTCATATTATCTGTGAGTGAGATGGTAAAAAGAGAAAGGACACAAGAGACAGAAATGCACGTTTATCTTTTGTTTTGGTTTTTTTGTTTTCTTTTTCTGATTTCTATAACAAAAAATGAAAATGCGATAAAACAGTTATAGTATATGAAACTCATTAGTTACGGGGATATAATACTGGCTGAGGCGACATCTCGGGATGTTACTGCAAAAAACATTTTGAAACAACCCTTGATGTCGCCCCAGCCAGTGTTATATCCTCGTAACTAACTCGTTTCATATACAATAACTATTACTTCACTCACATAATTGGTTATTTTGTTATAGAAAATTGACATAAACGGGTACATGGAAGTGTTCAATTATGGAAAATAGAAAAATAATGCAGACTTTTTCATAAATAGTTTTCAAGATAATTGGCGGAAACAATTCTGACATTTAGGCCCCTGTGACCTTGACCTTTGAACTAGTGACCCAAAATCAATAGGGGTCACTTACTAGTTATGACTTATCAGTATGTATAATATGAAGACTTTGTGATAAATAGTTTTCAAGATAATAAGCCCCAATATTGCCATCCCCCGCCCAATGTGTTTGCTCACTGGAAGAATATATATGTAATAGAGCAGAATAATTCAGGGGTCTTTTGGCAATGAAAACCTTTGGCTGGAGTGATAAAAGCTATTGAACTGCTGACTGAAAATAACAAAGGGCAATAACTGGAAAAAATGCAGGGTAGGCTATCATTCTTGTGTGCTGCACTCCTCCTCAATGAGATCTATCCACCTATGAAGTTTCAAGTTGATACCTCAAATACTTTTTGAGATAAGCTCCAGACAAAAAGTATGAAAAATAACAAAGGGCAATAATTTAAAAATTATAAAGGGAAGAGTTATCATTCTTGTACACAGCATTCCTCCTCAATAAGATCTATCCACCTATGAAGTTTCATGTTGACATCTCAAAGACTTTTGAGTTATGCTCCGCTCAGGTGAAAAATTAAGTATAAAAAGTAACAAAGGGCAATAACTCAAAACTTATGAAAAATAGAGTTATTATTCTTGTGCACTGCACACCTCCTGGGTATGATCTATCTTCCTATTTTTATATTCTCCGCCGCTATACTACTAAAATCATTTTACTGCAACCTCAAAGATCTCCGTCAATGAAGCTATTTGAAGCTCTTAACTGGTTACCGTTCCTTGACAGATGTAAATACCACACGGCGGTGCTTGTTGTTTAAAACTTAAAATAACATGGCACCGACTTATATGACAGAACTGATGACTTTATCCGACAACAAAATATATAAATTAAGAAATAGGTCACGAAAAGATATTGTATTATTGACAAGACCTAAAACAAATTATATTAAAGACACATTTTCTTATTATGGAATGAACATTTGGAACAATATACCGTTAAATATTACTAATGTTAATAACCTTAAATGTTTTAAAGAAAAATACAAAACATATCTTGAACTTCATATGAATGAATGAATAAATGAATGAATAAATGAGTGAGTGAATGAATAAATGAATGAATAAATGAACGAACGAATGAACAATCAGTAGGGGTCATTTACTAGTTATGTCCAATCACTATGTGACATATGAAGACTTTGTGATAAATTCTTTTCAAGATAATCAGTAGAAACCATTCTGACATTTAAGGCCCCTGTGACCTTAACCTTTGAACTAGTGACCCTAAAATCAATAGGGTTATCTACTAGTTATGCCCAATCACGATGTGAAATATGTAGACTTTGTGAAAAATAGTTTTCAAGATAATCAACGGAACCCATATGGTCTACCGACGGACAGACAGACAGACCGACATCAGCAAAACAATATACCCCCTCTTCTTCGAAGGGTGGCATAATAAAAACGTTTATTTACCAAGCAATATGATCTGAACGTGTATTAAAGTGTGCTTATTAATGTAACATGACGGTTAAGATATTCGCCTTTAATTCGCATTTATAGCTGATGTTACTTGATTAAATTGTAATTTAATTACACATGTATATTCATTTTAAATTTGATTATATTGATAAAACTCTTATAATTTGATAATAAACTAGGGAATAAATGTAAGTAAACCTCATTTGAGGAGCAGATAGTTATTTTGTCACATTCTTTTGGGTCACTCACGTGCGAACAGTCATGACAAAGAGGACCTCGTGATTGTTTTGGCGGGAAACCTGTTAAATTTAGAAAATCGATACTTGTTTTTATCTAAAAAAAAGAAGTTGTAATGGTTATATTATATGACATGTTAATACAAAATATTGAATTTTTGTTAACAGAAAACTAAACTAAAAACGACAATTCAATGCAAGACGATAATTTTGGAAATTGGAATTTCATTGGCCTGGTACATGTTGAGAGCGTATTCCGTCAAAATGGGACATCTTTACTGACACAAAATCCTTCTGTTAGGAGTTTTATACATTTTATTATAGAAAAGTACCAACGAATCAACCTCTAATCTCTCCGGACAGCTATATGTCGTTTCCATTCTCATCGCCTGCTGACAAACAAAAAGACAAAATTACGGATGAAAAACATAATCAACAGACGACAATATATAAACAAGGGCCAAAGAAAATAGAAATTTTAGAAAATGCTGGCTATGTAAAGTGCATTTATCTATCTAGCTTATTTAAGACGTTCGAAGAAAACTTATGAAAAATTATTTAGACCTTACCAGTCTTGCACAATGCACCATTCTGTCCATCATTTGTGCATTCACTGCAGTTATTATTTTCATCTGAAAAATATCAGCATAATATTATTTCAAAAGTCATAATTAGGTACTTTTTTGGGTTTGGTTATACGTGACACCAGCGGAGTAGATGTTATATGGCAAAATTGAAGTTTTACTTCTCAGGTGCTCCTCTGTGAACTAGCTCTATAGCTTCAAGACATGAAAGAGTTCTTGGCTTGATTCGAACCTGTTAGGGGGCAAGTGGTTTGAAGTCAGCGACCCTAATAATAATAATGGTATAATTCAATTTCAGAGTGAAATACCATACAGCAATTATGGTGTATAAATCTTTAAACAATCTGGCACCGTTATATATGAGTGAAATTTTTAGTTTCTCTCACAATGAATACCATAATTTACGCTCAATCGCTCTCTGAAAAGTGTACCTCATAAACATTATTTAAAGGATTCAGTATTGACGTTTGGAATAAATTACCTATTACTATCAAACAATGTGTTCGACTTAACAATCTTTCATAAACAACTGTAAAATTTATTTTTTACAGTTTACAGTTAGATACATGATGAAAATTGATCACTTTATATTATAATTGTTGTAAATGTTGACATCATCATTTTTTTTAATCATTACGAGTTTATCTATGATTGCTAAAATTAATATGAGTGTCGGTCGGATGAATGAATAAAAAATATCTAACCTTAACATTCAAGAATACATGTAATATAGATAATATTCATATACATATACCAAAAGATTTTAAATATTTGTATAGAACTACATTTTTTTCTTTGTTATTGTTTAATCAGAAGGCCATACTAAAAATTAGTATACTTCTTACTGTGAACTTTGTATGTTACCTTCTATAAATAAAGATTTTATTATTATTATTATTATTATTATTTTTATTATTATTATTATTATTATTATTATTATTATTATTATTATTATATGAAAAAGAAACATCATGTCGATTTATTTTCTATACTAAATTCAGAAGAACATAAAGATAAAACATTTGAAAAATATGCATCTTTGTCCATCCAAAATACAATACTATTCCTATTGCAATTGATTCACTATTTTAGAATTTCAAAAACTTTAAGATTAAAATTACCTGTTTTAAAGGTGTATCCAAGGTAAAAACCAAAGGAGTTTCTGCGAGTTTGTCCGTACAAAAGTACCGAATATCTAGCATCAGCAGCTGGGTGAGTGAGATTGTAATTACCGCTTGTCAAGTTCATAATTATGATTCTGTAGAAATATAAAGAAATAATCTAACAAATTCTGTTAAGATTGGTTTATTTAAATTTGTTTTTATATATTTTACTTTCTCATGAAATTTTAGGCTTCGATATAAATTATCAAAATAAATTTGATTCACCTATTTTTAAACAATGAGTACAGCGACGTCTATTACATTTTGATATCCTACCTATTTCAGGTACGTTATATATGCAATGATAGGTTTATAGACATGCAGTTGTCTAACTCTCTCATGTTCAGAATATTTAAAAAGATTCAATTATTGGTTAATTATTTTTACCAATATTTTTGTATTTTTTTACAAATAAAGAGATCATTTTACAAACGTATTTAAATGTATCATGTTTTTTCTTAGCCATGACATTTCTTAAAAGTAAGATACAGGACAAAAAAATGATACGCAATTTGCCCAAAGTCGTTGTCATTAGTCTGTTGATGCTGAACATTGTTTATTTTATATATTTGACGAGGGATAAAATATATATTTTCGCATTGACACATTGTATGTTAATGGTTCCACTGGGGTCCAAACGCAAAAATGGCAATTTCTGCAACGGATAACACAGACTTATGCTCAGAATAAAATTTAAAATCAATTTCATTCTTAGGTATCATTGAGTCCAGCACTTTTAACTGTTGAGATGCCGGTGCTAGTGGGCTTGAGGGATGTTGCACATTTTCATTATCCCTCATGTACAGACTCAACCACGCCGAGTCTGCAATTTTCATGTAATTTTGCTGTTTTTAATCATTCTGAGGGAATATTTATATATCAGATATTTGTGAGTGAAAAGGATTGTAATGATCAACTAGCGCAATAGAAATGATTATTCTGGAACAGAGGGGATAATAACAGCAAAATTTGCAATCACGTCCTTGGTTTAGATCTGCATAAATAAGTACACAAATTTTGGGAAAAAAAACATTTCCATTTCCGTCATTTCAAAACACCTCGCAACAAAACCGGTTAAATATGATTATAGTACAGTATAGTGTTTCATATATATGAAAAATAGATAAACCTACCAGTACAGTAATGTTTTCAAAAATCTAAATTTCAGTTAATTTTTAAGAAATGTTTACCTGAAATTATCATATGGCGCAACTGGTGTTACTGTTTTCATGGCCTTTAAATCCATCGACTTTCCATTTAGTAAAAGACCAGGAAGGTGCACATCTCTTATTGTTACAATTATAGTATTGATAAATCCGTCACTTGCAAGTGGAGTTGGAATAAAATAGTCTTTTCCGTAATGTCGAATCGCCGGTACAGAAGCCATGAACAGATCTCCGTTATTATCATCGTGGGTTTGACTGAACCCGTATTGTATAACATTCACTTTCTTATCTGTGATGATTATAAGTGCATCTGTTTCTAGAAATGTTTCATACATGCCTGTAAACGTTTGGTTTATCGTATTTGTTCTATTCTTTAATATAATATGAACAGTTTCGTTTGCAGCAAGTGCGAACACCTTTATGAGGTTGCCTAGCTTAGGTAAAAGTGGAGGAATTATAAATTCAGTTTGCCAATATTCAGCCGGTAAAAGAGAATCCATCCCAGCGTCACAAACAGAAAATTGTTCAGAATTTTCTGCACACAAACTTTCATGAACTAACGATATGGGTTTATTACTTTTAACTATTGCTCCTGATTTATAGTCACGTCCAATTAGTACGTAACTTTCATAAGAATGTAAAGAAATGTTTACCAATAGACTGTTCAAATTTTGTTTTCTCACTTGCAAACTTGCAGTTTTGTGTAAGTTTGATATCATAACAGCATTTCTTCGACTGAAATATAAATATAAAATGTAATGTGATATATAAATATACCCAAAACACTCTCACACTTCATCATAGGGTTAATATATGAGAAGTTAATAAACAACTTTTAAAAATTAACCTTAAATCTGATGTTTATGTGTGATGTATTTGCCTTGATTTGATTTGGAACAGTTTTTGTTTTGTTTCTTCAATGTTAATAAAAACAATGACAGCTTTGGATTTTTATGTAGTTCACGGACAATTTGACAGAGATGGGTATGTGTGTATAATCTACATTAATGGGAAAGTATTCCATATTGTATATTTACAATATTCTGAATGACTACATTCTTACTTAATACAGGTTAGAGTTATGCAAAAACACGCTTTTCCGTGTTTTTGTGTTATCTTACATAGACCGTCATGACAAAAATAGCTTAGGATATTGTTTAAATATAAGTTGTATTCAAGCTATGAAAATAAGTCTGCAACTGTGCATAATTTATACTTTCAGGATATATCTTAGCAGTTTGTCACGTAACTATTCATTTTCTCGTTAATAATCATGTCACTTATTCAATGTTTTGAACAATTTAAACCTAAACTTATAACGTAAAAGCGAAATTTTTAATAGTCATTGAACAGATTAATACGATTTATTAATTTTATTCTCTTAGAAACTCAGAATTCCATTTGCCACATTTTTAACTATTTTGGCTCATTTGTATATACAAATTTTCTTCAATTCCCATTTATCACCCTAATTATTACGACTGCCTTGTCTTAAACTTAGCCTGTTGAATGCGAATGTGTGTAAAATATATATGAAATTCACGTATTAAACTAAGCTATTTAATTTAAAAGGATCGCTACTCTCACGAAGCATATATTGTACAACTACTCTATTCCGCTTAACTGATAAAAATGAGTAATTGATTAGGTGGTAAAACATTCAGGTGATAAAATGTATGCTTATATATATGAATTATCGACATCCCTATTCATCAATATTTTGTGTAAACAAATAATTTAAGGAATAACAAAGTCGGATTAACATATGCATCTTGTACATTTTTGTAAACTTCTATTGTATAGTTTGTTATTTTTTTATTATGAAGTCTGTTAGATCTAACAGTATTTTGCATGTATATAAACATAATGTTTTCATCAAGTTTTTCATATATGAACATTTTAATACAAGTCTTCTCTTTTATTCATAAATTTAATCATTTTTCCTAATTTTTTCATCTGACTAATATTTATCATACATCTATCATTTCTTATGTTTTAATTTCCTATGAAGATAATGATAATATTATACAGTATACGAAATGTCAATCTAGTTTCCCATCTTCGAAAAATAATAACTAAATAAATTACCACAAAAGTCTCCTATTTTAAAAGAGGAACGATTATTATTTTTACCTCTGTTTATCATAGTTTCAAACTGAATATATTACAACAAAAACTTATTATATGCGTACATCATAAATACATACATTTTTTACATACATTTCACTAAATGACTCGCTTTCAGATCAAGGCAATTTATTTAATAACCTCATTTAATTATCATTTTAGATAAAACAACTGGATTGTAGTTTACCTCAATTTACCAAAAACTATAAACTACTTACCTCAATAAAATTTAGAACAACCACATTTTATACTCACCATTCAATACACTTACATACTCACCAGACGACCGTTTTTAGACCAAGAACGTCTTAATAAACATACCGTAATGTATTCAAAATAACAAAAATTATTAAATTACCTCAATTTACTCCCGTTTAAGACCAAGAACAACCACATTCTATATTTACCACATTATCTCCCATTTGGAGACAGGCTATGCCTCCCCAATGTTTATCAAATCTTACTATAGCGGTCATTAGGTAAAAAAAATAGCACCGTGATATTTCAAAGCTGACTCATCACTTATCACAATTTTTTACAAGTTAAAACAAGTTTATGTTCTTAACTATCATAATTGCTATTTGTAACGTTTATAATTCTCAGAGAAATGCTTGGTTTAAACGTTTTTTAAACTCACGTTTACTGCGTCGGAAAATTGGTCATGCATCGGTCATTGAATAGTTCTGATATTTTAACCCTAATATTTTTAACTACTATATCAGGAAAAACTAAACGCTGCTGTAGTAGCGAATAGTTAAATTGCCAACAGTTATTTGTGATTGTTGTACGAGTTATTATACGAAACAGCCCTTAACTATCTTCATGCAAAACTTTCTTAAATAAAGACAGGAAATTGATTGTAGATAGTCGTAAAGTGCAGGTCCTTCAGCAAAGGTATTTTCGACATTTTCACAACTTGTTTATATATTTTGAAAATGTTTTAAGTTAGATATCCTATAAACGGACACTAGTTTTAATCGGTGAAAATGATGGGCCATTCTTGATTCATTAAAAGGGAAGACTATTTACGGTCATGTAAAATGTCTCAAACAGAACGTGTTCTTTTTAGAAAACTAATTGAAGTGAATAAAAGCTGATTCCTATGAATTTTCATTTGAAACTGTTACCTCTAAATATACTTTTAAACTTATACATGTAAATGATTAAAGGGGTCCTGTACCTAGGATAAGGTTCGAATGGCAATACAACGTATTTAGAAGACCACGTATTCTCCGGAAAGAGGGTGTATGCTGCTACTACGCCGGAAAGATATCCTATCATATAGACAGAAATATCAACTGTCGAGCTGATTTGTACTCCTTTTGTTCTCTGAATACCTGCTGTGTCATCGACAAAATGCGATGTAGACATGTTAAGTTGAGTTATGCCTGTAAAGAAGAATGAATTATTGTCGTCCAAATGTACTCAATTATAACACAATAAAAGTATAGGTGTAAACAAAGTACAGGTGGATACTGGCAAATTGAGATTCAGTGTCAGGAAATACGTACCGCGATACAGAGCGCTCGTACCGCGATATTTTAAATTATTTTGAATAATATTTTAGTTTGATCAAAATATTCAATTATGTTTTTTTTACTTTTTCAAGCGTTGTAAATATGTAAAATCTTTATGAATTGCCACCAAATATTGTTTGAAAGTGTTTTTATTTACATTTCTCTTTTTGTTGCTGGTCCATACTAAATTTCTTTGGGGTGACCGCGCTTAAAGAACTGAGCCTATAATGTAACACCCAGTAATTTATTTTAAAAATCAAGTGTTATGTTTACATTCTTATATTATCACAAGGATAAGAAGGGCACTACTTGTAAAATAGAAATAAGCAAATTAAAAATGTTAAGCCATAACAGTCGACGGCTGACATTGTTCAGAGATTTTGCAAATTACATTGTTAATCAATCTGTCTATTCACACAAAATTTATGTCACGTTATCTTATCACAACGTCTGCGTTTATGTTTTATTTGTTTGATAGTTTGACAAATACTAGAAGAGTTCGAGTTCCAAACAGTACTATTTCATTACTTGAGTTTAAAGGTTTTCCAATGTATTTTTGGCTTTTATAATTTCTAAAACAAAAAGTATCTACATTTCCCCCTCTTTTATTATCATAATCAGTGTATCGCAACATATACTGCAATCTGGGTTACCTGTATCGTATAATATCGCAATTCAGATTTGTTTAACTTTATAATTTGTGACAGCAAAAACATTTGCACGATAAATACTATTGCTAAACCATAAATAAAGTTAGAATGACTTCATAAAAAGAAACATTAAAAAACAGGACGAATTCAATCGTTTCTGGGGCATATAGAACCGGCACACAAGGGCTTTATTACGTTTGAATAATGGTTTTAGAGCATGCTAAAAGTGCTTATCAGAAATGTGCGCTGTATGTGAAATTATCTGTCATAAAAGTAGGAAAGTGCAAACAAAGTAGTATTTTGACTTCCATATAAAATACATTCATTGTCACTAAGGCAACAGAGGCAAAATATAGGCAAATGATAGGACACAAAAAAATGAAAACGCTTTTGAGACATTGTATTTACCTGGCGATATTTGTTTGGTTTCCATTGCAGAAAAGTTCCGGTAATGTTGCGTTATGTTTACAAGACCTCTTAATCCGCTTCCAATGTAAATGACGCCGTTAAAAGGTGTGATCCCATCGAATGTTATGAGAGAAATTAAGAATGTTCTGCCTTTATGAGTACCTTGAAAGAAAATTGTATATAAGTCAATTTTTTAATGTTTAATCCGTGCAAAGCTAGACAAATCACTCATGTGAACAAAAAATGTCGCCATCTTGTATATATAAAAAAGAAGTTCGTTTCCTTGTGTGGATCACATAAATAAATCAAGGCACTGAAAGCACTGAAGAGTCGATTGACTGACGAATTTATATGACATTATACCGCTGGTGGTCACTTGAAAGGCCAAATTTCCTGTCAGATTTAAGCGTTTGCAACTTTTTTAAAATAGTTCATGTCATATTCAAGCCTAAATGAGTATAAAGGAAAGTGGAATATGTTGCCATATGATTTAATTCAGGGAGATTTATCATTAACATTCAACAATTACAACACGGTTTATCAAAAGTACCAATACAAGTACATTGTATTTTTTCTGAAGTGCTTCAGTTGAGAACCAACTTGCTTTATTTCCTCAAAATAATACTTCGAAAGTTTGATAAATATTAAGAGTACACTACTGACAGAAGCAAAAACTGGAAGTAGATAACCAAGTTCTCTACTAAACTATGGCTAAGCATTGTTAATTAAACCTACTTCTTAGGCATATAAAAAGCATGCTCATTATTGGGGATTGTAGTTATTAATAATTTGGTATTCAAGTTAACATTTATCCATGTGCATATAGATTGGATAGTGTTCAAACAACTCATAATATGAATTCTTTCAATAAACAAATGGCAAAATAAAGAAAATAGAATCATTTGACGGTTAAGGTCATTTAAAGGTCAAGGACATATCGAAATTATTCAACCTGTCTGTTTGGTCACCAGTATTATTTTGTCCACATATGAATCAAATCCATACATAAATAACAAGATCATGACAACTTTACCAAAATTCAATACTTCGATCTTGGCGGTCAATGTCATTTAGAGCTCAAGGTCAGTTCAACCTTTTAGAAGGTCTTGCCCAAAATGTTGTTGTGTCCAAGTATGAAAATAACAAATTGATTCATTACAATGTTACAGCCAATTACAGGTTTAATCAGTGAAAATAAAATAATTTGAATTTTACGGTCAAGCTCATACATGAGTCAAGGTCAATTTTTTGTTTCTTATATATTGAACATAAAGGCTTGATCTAAAAGACGCTGTGTCTAAATGTGAACTTTATCCATTTATAAATAACAAAGTTATAGCCACTTACAGAAAAAAAAACAAGATAATTTTATTAGTTTTACCTTGACAGTCAAGGCCAACTTAAAGACAATGCCACATCTTATTTATTTAATATGTTTGTTTGGTAACAAGTCTTGTTTTGTCCAAATTAAAATCAAATCAGTAGATAAATAACAAAATTATGACATTTTAACCAAAATTCAATAAATAGACCTTGACATTGCAAAATCATTTAAAGCTCAAGGTCAGGGTCAGTTCAAAACCAAAAATGTTTTGAGAAAGTGTGAAGATAATCCATTTAGTTACATTTAACTAAACGAGATCGGTGAAAAATACAACAATTTAACCTTCAAAGTCAAGGTCAACGTCATTAAACAGCCAATTTCAATTTAGTATTTATCATGGTCTTATCCTAAGGAATGTTCTGATATAATATGAAGTCAATCCTTTCAATAAGGAAAAAGTTACAGACTGTTACAGCAAGAAAAAATGAAAATTCTAATGTCAAGGTCATGTATAAGTTAAGGTAAAGGTCTGTTGGTTAACTTGAAAATCTAAAAGTATATTATGTTCAAGTGTGTAGACAATCCATTCAAAAATGAAAAGGTTAAAGCCACTAATAGCAAAAAAAAACAAGCAAAATAAAGACAATTGACCAAGGTTAAAGTCATTCATGAAGGCCAAGTTAGTCCGGTTACTAAGAGGTCTTGTCCCGAGGGTTATCGTGTCTATGTATGAAGACAATGCACCACAAACTTAAAAAATAATGATTAGGGTACAAGTTTTTGGATGACCTCGACAATGCCAACATGACTGTAACAATACTTCTATTTTTTTTTTAAAAAGAAAAGTCGAGCTAAAAAGGGGCATTACTGCATCAAAAATTAATTTACAGTCTAAATTGTACTAAATAAACATGGCAAATATAAACACACTTCATTTCCTTCACTTATTGTCCTGCAGAAATCAATTGAACACCATACTCTTAAACATGCTTATTATCCAAATATGACATTACTTTTAGATTATTTCACAATAAAGTATAATTTTAAAAGTAGCCAGACTATATTCGAATGAGGATGTGAAGCCTATATTATAAACAAACAGAAATATTGTGGGGAAATACGTTTATTTCTCAAAAAAATGTGATAAATAAAATAATTGAATCTGGCGTTCAATTTATAAAATAGATTTGGTTCTTGCATGGAAAATAATCAAATACTCTTCAAACAATATGTTCCAAGTTTCTTCATGCTTACAAAAGTAATATATTTATGTAAATTAGTTTATTAACAAACAAAACTGTAATTTTATTGTTCTGACGAACAGTCTGGAGTGTTTTTGTTAAACAGCCATAATCTGCAAGACTTACAAGTTTTCCGTCGCATTATATAATCCAAAATTAACAATATTGGGAAATAATGAAAAACAAAAAAATGAAAAACAAAAATATTAACAAATGCATGTATAAAATAAAGCTCATGTATATGAATTTAATGTCAATTTATAGTTGAAACTGCGGAATTTAGCTTTGTCAACTTCTGAAGAGATTCCAGTTCATTTAATCTTGCCTCCCATAACTGAAGCTACAAATTTCTGAAAATAAAGTATTTGTCATGTTGCAATTAATTGTTTATATGGCATTGAATATATTCGACATCATAAAAGACAATGTGATCCGTAGTAAAATCCAAAACATATTTCTTCTATATTTTGTTATCATATCTTTGCATGAATTATCATAGTAAGCTTACACCACTCTGTAAAAACCTAGTTTCTGGCGACAAAAAAAAACAAAAGCAATAACTGGTATGATATCCAGTCTTAATTAACTTTACAAATGCTGCTGAAAAACAAACATTGCATTGTCAGGTACTTTGAATTAAACGATAGTAAAAACATCGTTTACCATAAATGCTGCTGTAATAAAAGAATAGAGCATCACTTCTAACTGCAAGCAGAGCCATAGTGTATTCTGTTGTCAGGAAAATCATTATTATCGCTTAATTTTTTTATCTCATGTTTTCTTTAGATGGATAAAGTAAACATGTAAAGTGAACTACTTTACCTCAATTGGCATCCTGTATGCTGAAGTTTCCTTTTGAATACAGAAATAACTCCTACGCATAGTAAGCTTCACTTGAATTAAGTTGTACTGGAAATAATACATTGGTCTACTGGGTACTTCAGACAGCTTCATTAAACAGCATTATTTATTCAAATACAAGAAACTTGATCATAATCTATTATTTCTTTTCAGTAAAATGATAGAAAACTTAACTTCATTTAATTGGATGTTCACTATAAGCAGACATTTCATTTTTTTAATTTTCTAGTGTAACATGTTTACAATAATATATATTTTTTGTATAATTTCTAGACCTACAATGAATCAATGCAGTTCTTGAAAGAAGGATTTAACAAATTATATAAGATTTAAATGTTTTGCATACAGTATTGTACTGCAAAATGAACTGTTGTCATCGTCATCGTAGGTGCCATACATCATCGAGTGTTTCGCCCCATTATACCTAGGACACTCTAATATGGGGGGCCACGTGGTGATCAAATACTGTGTTTGGCAGTTAGCCAACCAGCTCTTGTTCATCTCTCCCTAAAGGCATAAACAACCAGCATACTTTTTCAGCTACACTACTGACTGCAGCAGATGGGCTCCGTTCTTCGGATGGCCAGTTATCCCTATCTCGTCAGGACAGCTTCCCACAATGCTTAAAGCTGGGAAGTCCCCCTGGCTATCTGGGAAAAAGCCAGGCTTTCTGATCCTTTCTATCTCTACAGTTTTGCAGTGATACTAGGTGTACTTGGCTGAATTACGTTCGTAGGAGCCTCATCCACACTCTCTCTTCCCAAGGTACCAAGCTATCAGTTTATATGAAGACACAACTCTTCTGTCCCTGGGGCCCACAAATACTAGAATGACTGGTGCGCAGAGTTGCTCTGGACCACATCTTGGGGATAAACAAAGTCGCTTTTCCAGGTCTATTTTCACCTCCAAGCTTTGATGATGAAAGACCCCACTCTTTTTTTGGTCCAGTGGGTCCCTTGGCCTCGCAACAAAGGGGAAAATTCCCCGTTCCTTTCTGAGGGGGTTTTTTTATGCTTTTCCTTTCCTCTCAAGGGTGTTGCTAAAATGCCCCCAAGACTCTATGTGCCCCACCGTGTAACGGCCTTTGTGACAGCCCCGTTGAGCAAGAAAAATAAGAACAGCTCCCGTGTTTTCTCTTTTCCACATAAGTACAGATGGATCAAAAGTTTTGGTTTCCAGCGATAGGAAAAAACTGGTGCGTAGAACATATACACGCTGCGGGAAAAGGAAGCATCGAAAATGGGGTCAAAACTGCCCGAAAACTGACCATTGGGGTTTTTTTCGGAGATTCCCCCTCTGTAGATGTTCCTTTACCCCCATCTGTACCATTTGCCCTTCTTGCCCTCTTCACCCTTCCTTATTTCGGCCTGGATCATAGATCTTCTGTCTTGTCCGGATGATGTTGAGTACCTCTGACGTAAAACCATTCCAAGTGCCCTACAGTTGTGGTACCAACAATGTCAGCACGTCTGATGCGTGACTCTGCTGACTCCACTGCTTGGCTGACTGACCACTTACTACCAGTCCCTAGCTCGATACCGGCTCATCGAATGCATTCATTAGGTGAGTCCTTAAGTGAACATGAACATTTGGACCAATTAAAAGACTGGTAGCTGGAGTTCCCCTGTTGCAGTGTACAGACCTAGGCTTGTGACACATTGCGGGAGGCCAAACCACTTCCGAATGTGCTTGTTTATCTGACGCTCTAGGGATTCTGCTGTTGATATTTGGATCTCGTACATCATCAAAGGCCAGCTAAGCTTTGGTAGTAGCGAGTGTTGGTAGATCCACACCTTGGACTTTCCTGGAAGTCCTGTCTTGTCTATAGTCTTCAGATTCTGGCTCAGACTAACCTGGAACTGATTGATAGCTTCTTTGTCCTTAAGGGTAGCATCAAACCACTTCCAAAGGCACTTGATAGGATTGTCTATTATCCTCGGGATGTCTTCGCCTTGAATCTTCAAGTCCACATGTGGCAGTATCATCCCCTTCCTGAGTACAAGCTACCGTGACTTTCTTGGCTTGAACTTCATTCTTGCCTAGGATGCTGTTTTTTTTCCAGAACACCATGAATCTATCTTGCTTGTAAGTGGGAATCTGTGGTTATGGATATATCGTCCATAAACCCTCTGGTTGGGGGACATCATTATGCCAGATGTCATCTTGGGACCCCTTGTCTCCTGTTCTGTTGTCTTCAAGATGAGATTCGTCCAAAGGACAAATAAGATGACTGAGACTGTGCATCCTGTAAATATACCCCTTTCTACCTTGATCCAGTCAGTGGTAAGGTCTGGAGTGCTGGATCTAAGACGAACATTGCTGTAGTAGCTTCGTATCACTTTTGTTGACGCCTGCTTCTCTGATGAGCTGTGTTATGGCTGCGATATGTTCAGGACATCCTGTAAAGCCTGGAATGTCACCCTTCTGGACTGCGGTGTTGACATAATCATTTTCTGTCACTAAGGCAGATATCCTCTTGGCGACAACTGAGAAAAATACCCTCTACAATCAGCAAGGATATTGTTCGGAACTGGCTGATGTTTTCCGACTTCTTCTCCTTAAGTGTTAGGCATCCGTCTGCTTCCTTCCAGCAATCAGGTACTGTTCCTTTACGCCAGACGATCTTGATGAAGTTCCACAGTTTCTTCAACAGCTTCGGGTAGTTCTTGTAGACCTTTTAAGGTATCCCCCTTGGTCCTGGGGCTGACCCTGATATGGCCTTCCTCACCACCTCACGAACTTCTCTCAGTGTTGGTTCAATCAACGTGAATGGATGTATAGGTGGGTCCACTGGGCGTATCTGCGAGCATTCCCCCAATGGATCTTCTCTCGGACTCAGCGTGTGCTGTTCTCATGTACTCCTCAGTTTGCTGCTTGTCAGTCTTCTTGACTTCTCATCATTGAGCAGGGTTTTGGAGAACTTGTGCGGGTTGGAGATAAACGCTGCTCTCTGTCTCTCTCTTGTCTTCCTGCCTTTCTTCAGCCTCTCATCTGTGGTCAGGCTCTTTAGCTTCTTTCTGATGATGTCCCTTAACTCGCTAAGACCATTCTTCTCCTGTTCAGTCGCTCTTTTATACTGCTTTCTTAATGAACGCAGTTCCCTTCTTAGGCACTTTATTTCCATTTCCCTGCGATTTGACTTGAAGGGCTTTGGGGGGGCTCCTCTCTTGAATGCTAAACCTCTCCCTCCCAACTGCGTATGTGATAGCTGAGAGTGTGCGTATTTTCCTGTCTACTTCGCCTTGGAGGGCTACACTGAGTATTGTATCAAGGTCACCATCAAACAGCTGCCATGATTTCTTGTCTCCCTGTGTAGGCCACTTGACTTGCGGCTTCCGTTCTGTAGTGGGTTGTTGTCGCTGTCTAGGTTCATCACTTGGCTGGGTGTTGCTGTCTGTATTGCTCGCTTCTACATCTAACAGAATAAAAACGCCAGGGGACTGAAGATCCACCAAGCGAGATCAAAGTGCGGTCAGCATCTTCAGCATGGGCAGCGCAAAGGTTCACACTTAAGTGAGACGCATGAAGAATCCAGCCAGGATAATCACCATAGTGCTGAAGACATCCAAGCTAATGAATAAGGGGCTTACAGCCAGGATCCCAACTTGTCATAATTATTATAATTATTCAACCACTAAAACATGCTGTTCCTGTGTTTCCTCAACCTAAACAGAAAATATTTACACTGGATGTTGTTGAACATAATTTTGTCTTTTTCGGCCTACAGAGTTACAATTTTCATGATACATACTCTCTTTTAATACATATATTTTTTCTTTCCTTTTTACTTATTAGACATGATATTAAAATGTTGAATTCTGCCAGTACGTGCTAGGGGCAATGCCAGTAACTTGCATTTTCCAGTACTGTTCAGGCTTACCCAAATCTATTCTGTCGTTTTTTGGCGTTCTTACGGGATTTTATTTTTCTCTATGATATGCATTGTAAACATAGACAATAATTTGCGGTTCTATAATGGTTTTCATAAATCTGTCATTTTAATGCCATGCACCAAATACCATGGTCAATAGCATTCATAGAATTATAAGTCAAACTTTTTTGACTTGTCAAAGAGACATTGAGATATTTTGGACGGGCGACAATATAAAAAAGGTCTGTAAAATAGGTCAAACTGTAAACGCTGAATTAATTTTCAAACCAACAGCAGTTACGGGCCAGTGGTTTAGAGTCAACAACCATAACCACTTCACCACAGATGTCCCATCCCTACAACTCCATAGTACTCCCCCTGCGCCCCTTACAAATCCAGATTGCTTAAAGAAGATATATACACCTTCCACTTTTCCTGTTTAGCTAATTTTGCATTTGTATACGTCTTATGTTATAGGACTATGTCTTTCCTTTATTTTGTTAGATTAATAGAACAATAGAAAATAGAAAATGTATAACAATCTGCTTTTAGATAATAAAAACAAATATCATACATATCTGTAGCATCAATCTAGTTTATTTATAACTCTGAAAGTTAAATAAAAATTGAGATTAATTTAATAATTATACAGTTAGTTCTGTTTAACTTTTAGCTATTATCTATAAAATATAAAGGATATATCAAATAAATGCCAAAAAAATTAACCAAACCATTAATATTTTACAGTCCAAATGAATTTTAAAATGTTAATTTTAGGTGGAGCGAATCGTCAGTAAAGTGTGACAAATTGTCAGTGTGGCGAATCGTTACCGACAAATTTTATAAACAAATCTTCAATAATTTATCACACTCCAGGCTCAGTTTCAGAAAGTGTTTCTTATTAAATAGATCATAACTGTCAAAATCACTTAACGGTACATACAATTTCTTCAAAATATCCTGATATCTGTATCGACTAACGAACGTCGAAAACAACTTGTTTACGTTGAAAAAAACATGGCTGAACTATCACATGATTCAGTCGCGCATTCATATAATTTCTGTACACAGCACAAATTTACTGTAATTTTTCGATATCATGATACATTTCAAAATGTATGATAACCCTTCTAAAATGAATGTAGGTACGGATTTTCTAACTTGTTACCGAACATACGAACTATTTACTACGTGGCTGTATATTTCAGCCGAAATTCGGTTTGTAATAAGCGTGTGGTTATAGTTATTACTTTGGGTCGCAATCGATCCAAATATATAAATGCTAAGCATAAAAAGGGGTAAACTATAAGTGCCATTCATAAAATGCGCTAGTATGAAGTAATTGTACAGCACACGATTCATCTGACACCCCATGTCAAATAATATTTCGTGTCTGGCAACACCCAGTCAAAAAATATATGCTTTACAACAAATATCTAAGCTCTAGTATTACAATTAAAAAAAAGAACACACTTACTAGTAGTTTACTTGTAATAGATACACATCAAATATTTAAGTCATTGTACTTGGGTGATTGGGATATTTAAAGATAACATAATTAAAACCCTGCCTATTAAACCATTTATGCACTAAAAAGAACGATTAAAATAATTTTGGAAGAGCCTTACGCAAAATTAGAAGACATTTGAAACCGTTGTAGACAACGGACGACCGACTTCCATCAATCATATAACTCAAATAACCATCAGGTTGTGTAACTGACTTGTTCGAGAAATAAATGACATCTCTTCTTTTTAAATTACTAATTCATACTCACTGATTTCTTGTTTGCATGCATTGTTTTCAGTTGAGGTAAATCCCGTATGTAAAATCTATAAGAAATAAAATTTAAAATATTATGAAAATTTTATTTGTACTAACACATTATTTGGAATGCTAGCGTTTTCGTTGCAATGTACACTAAAAAACTATTAGGTCACGTGTTCGAATTTTGACTTCATGCAAGTATTTTATTTGCATATTTATATATTCCAATATCCATACAAATTGTCAGCAAATAAACATATAGGTATTTAGCTTTAAATGAAAAGGTTCCCCCATTTAAGTGTTTTAAGGGAACCCTACAGATATATAATTTTATAAAAAGAGTGTATACATACGCTTAGGCAAGTCAATAAAATAAGAAGAGATCGCATAATGCTGTTCTCTTAATTCTCTTATTCTGCAAGCTAAACTATATCAATCTTAGTACCAACAAATATACAAAGTTGTAACTGACTGCCACGTATTATATATATGTACATTAAATGTCCCAAACATATCTTTAGACTTCTAAAATAAGACAAACAACGTGACATAAATGACACGATTTGCTGTAAATTGTCAAAGCCGTTATTTGATAATACTAAGATAAATCTATTTATTAACCCAATTGTAGTGATGACCTTCAAACACTTTTTTCCTTCTTTAGTCTATGGAATAACAAAAAATCACCGGTTGCCTGAAATATATTAAAAGGAAGATCACCAAGGACATGAAGGCAGGGTGACGTTCAACCACACGATTTAGCAACACATGAACACTGGTAAGGTACCCAACGGGACACCCAAACAAAAGCAGTACTGGGGAAAAGGCAAAGCACGGATACCAACATGGAAACAATAGTGTAGTGAAGATATAATAACAACTTTTAAACCTTTATACCAT